AACAGTTATTAAGCACAAGGTTTTAAAAGCAGACTATCTCTACTCTGCTTCTTACCGTGTAGGTAACTTCAGGCAAGTAAGTAACTTACTCTCTCTGCCCCATTTTCCCAAAGGGCTGTAGTGAGAATTAAATGCACCAACACATGTACAGTGCTCAGAACAGTGCCTAGCACTTAATAAGCACACCATAAATGTCATCTACTTAGTTACATAATTATTTTTATGGAAAAAGATCTCTCAGCTTAGACAACTCATTATAAATCCTGATAATATTCCATTTTCAATTTACCTTACCAATGAGTTCACATTTAGGAAAACTGGGCTTAATATCTAAGTAGCCTTGGTGTTTATGCTATATCTACCCTATTCACAACAAGCCCAATTTTCTCCAACCCTGAGTCACTATTAGTTCCTCTTCTGACTCATCACATAGAAAGGTAGACAGTCTGGTATATAATGGGCATACCAAAGGCATTTCTTAATCTACCTGGATTCACATGGTTTACTTAGTCAAACTTGTCCCATATAATGTTCAACAAATACACTGAATAATTATGACTTAAAATTGTGCTCACTTAAAAATGCTCCTTCAAACTATGGAGTAGGTGTTTTAACTCCATCTTGACAGAAAAACAACATATCACTTATGTAAAAACAAAGATTCATATTTTCTGATCTAGCCAAAAATAGATTGTGCTGATGGCCTGATGTTCAAAATTTTGCCAAGGAAACTATAGAGGGTCAGAAGCAATCTCTGAGCCTACAAATTTGACCTTAATTTCTAATCAGTTCCTTTTACTCTTTTCTCCATTCAGAGGTTTAAATTATTTAAGATAACCTCTAATAAAAAGTTATAGAAAAAAATAAAAAGTTATAGGAAAACAAGCTACATATTGCAAAATTGGCTGATTCTTAAAAATTAATTCTTTTAATATTTTATTAATTAAAAATTAATTCTTAAAAATCCCGCTCTCCCAAGATGCACGCGCGCGCGCGCGCGCACACACACACACACACACACACACACACACACACACTGAAAATACTGCTCTACCACATATTCACTTTCCATGTGATCCTGAGTCATTTAAACTCTTCAAGCCTCCATTTTCTCCTCTGGAAATGAGGATATAAAGAGAAACAGTAACTACCACATGGGATTGCTGTGAGCATTAATTAAAACATAAAGTACTGTAGCCAACCACTATGAAAATAGTAAGTTTCAATACGTGTTAACTTTGTATTTAAATCAAAATTTCAGTATCATTTGACCTTACCTATTGAAATACTTTATTAACCACCTCCGTTAACCCACTCATGCAAACCTATTCAATGGCAATAACTTCACAAGCACTCTGAAAACAGGGGTGGTACTGCCTAGGAACCCTTCCTCAACTATCCCCGTCTTCCTTAGGTTAGGTACCCTGCTCAGCCTGCATTAAACACTGTACTTACCACAGTTCCCTATATTACTTGAGAGGCCCTGTGGGCAAGGCCTGTGTCCTATTCATTTCTGTATCCCCAGACTGCAGCCCAATAGTTCTTAACCCTGACTCACAGTAGAATCACATGAGAAGCTTATCAAAATATTGATGCCTGGGATCCATCCCAGACCCATTAAATCAAAAGGGGCTCAGGGAGGGAGAGGGCAAGTATTCTGCATGAGGAGCATTTTTTTAAGATCCTCACATGATATTAATGCACTTCCACAATTAAGAACCACTACACTCAGATTTAAAACACCATAAGTATGTATACACGTATGTGTGAATGGATGTATAAATATATAGGTACAGAAATGTAAGTCTCAGCCCAAGAGCCTCATTACCAGTAGCTTCTCTCAGCCCCAATCACCTCTTGCCCCTCAACACAAAACTTTTTTTTTTCCAGATTTTTAAGTGATCTCCATACCCCAATGTGGGGCTCTAACTCACAGCCCTGAGATCAAGAGTCACATGCTCCACTGACTAAGCCAGCCAGGCACCTCTACACATAAAATATTTCTAATAAACAATTTGCTGTGTTAAGATGGCTTTTCAATTGTTAACTCAGTACTTAAGTTTTTTCATATAATTATGCCTTATCCTTCTTCCAGGATTATAGCCCTGCTCCTTGAGAATATACACTGCCTTACTCTTCTTGTTTTTTTTCCACAGCCCTTACCATACTGCCTGAACACAGACATGTAATAAAGATCTGACTGATCTAATAAACGTATACCAAAATTACTGGCAAGAACAGCCAAATTATCCAATTTGAGCTATCCCCCAAAAAAGTAGACAAAGTAAAAATTTAGGGAAAAAAACACTTTTTTAATCTCTAACTTGGTAATCAAGAACAACTAAAGTTTGTCTCACTAATAAGCATCTGTATATTTGCACTTTTTATTACAGTCATCACAAGTACTATCCCACCCAGCTTCCCATCCCCATCCATCACATCTAGTTTGAGACCTGCATCCTTGCTAATATTATCTTGTTGCTGTTTGTGATATCTTTAGTTGTTGTCAGGTAGCCTTTACAACAAATTTTATAATATTTTGTAATTAGTAAGATAAGTTAATGAAAGTCACAGTGAATGTGTCAAACAGATGTTTAATAAATATTTCCTGATGGAACTTAATGTTTATCAACCACAAAAATCGGCTTTTGCATGTGAATTATATGCTACTTTCCTAATAGAAACTTGGTTGAGAATACTGTCTGAAAACAAGAGTCTTTCTCAACATCACATATAATACAAGTCTATTTTTGAATGTTGACAGATTAATAATTGTCTGCTTTTCTGATATTTACACACCTGAAAACTTTATAAAATATGATATGACTTCTTAAACCAACAGTGCTACATTACACAAGAAACTCCATACCAACTGACATTCTCAGTGTTGAAACTACTAGGAGAAATGAATGGCACACAATTCTAAAAATACAACCTGAAGAATATAAAGATGGCCCATCTTTAAAGTTTTGTGTCATATATTTACCACTATTAAAATAATCTGAACGACTTAAGCTGTTTTTACGAAAATATGAGGAGGCACTCAACAAGTATGCCTGCTAATTAGGTACTGCGTTAAAACATTACCATGTTTTGTTGCGTCCTACAGCAACAGATAGAGCCATAGTTACCACAAAAAGAAAGCAGTCCTCAACTCTCTATTCAATAAAAAAGGTTCAAATTCCACAGACAAAAAAAATGGTACCCTGGGTTGTTTGTTTTTAAGGAAGATTAAATTTAGGAGTTGCCAACACCCAAACGAAAAACATTCCAGAGTATTAGACTCAATTGTAGTGGGGAGTGATCTACATTCTCAGCACTATGTTCCCTAACCCAAAGCAGGAGCATTAACAATGGATGTTTCTTAGGATCTCGCATGATACACCACACTTATTTCCCCCGGTAAACATAATGCTTGTTAAAAACAAAAACAAAAAAGGTACTGGAGAAGCAACAATTCTAGTACAAGCAGCCTGACAAAAAATAAAGTTTAACATCTGCCAAGATATTTCCCAAAATAAGACCCCTGTCAGATGAACAATGAGGAAAAGACTGAAAATGACTAATTCTTTTATTTGGACCATCAGCTACTTTTAAAAATAAAGTTGAGGAATGTAGCTTTTCCAGAGCCCTGTCTTTAGTTTCCCCTTAATCTTCATATTTTTAACAACAACAACCAAAAAAAAAAAAAAAAACCCTAGAAATTTGATTACCACTCTCATGAATTCCTTTTAAAGCAATTTAATGAATAACAGATCTTTTGTGCAAGTAGCAAACCACAGAGGACAGTTTTGCTGGCTGATAAAATCTCGCTGAAACATGCATATAAAAATATACCCTTCAAAGACAAACTGTGATTTTCCAGGTATGGAAATCATATTAACACTTAAAAAGTTGGGTATGTTTGACATATACCCTAGCTTACTCTGAATGTTTTCACTTGAACCACAACTGAAGTTAGCATATTCTTATTAATTATTAACTAGGTATCAAAGTTGAATACATTACAAGGCCACGAGTAAAAAAAAAAAAAATTTTTTTAAGAGTAAAACCTAATGAGCCAACGGGAAAATGATACAACTTCTTTGGGTGAAACAAGGTTGTGGAATCACTTCCCAAAACTCGTGCACTTCTATTCAAGTAACCAAAATTTGCTTAGAAAAAAATTTTTTGAGGGTAGAGATAGGTGCGGTTACACACTAAGTAAAAATGTTTCACCACTCACTCCAATAGAAAGACGTTGCTGCCTGCAGGAATGTTGAGACTGCTCAAAAATACAAAACAAAAACAAAAACCCTACCACAAATGTTTTCCAGAATACGCAGAGCCAAATACTTAAATACACGGAAAGATCGTCTTAGCAAAAAGAACTGTGGGTTGCTACAGCATTCCTATTGTCCTAAATACCACTCAGAATAAACTGTACGCGCGCGCGCGCGCGTGTGTGTGTGTGTGTGTGTGTGTGAGTGATGGGGAGCGCTCTTCCCAAAAGCTAGCTTAGATATGAAACAGTGCATACACTCATTCAGATACACTCATCTTGGATACACTGAAAGATAAAGCTGTCTCGCATAGTGCTAAGGCCACGTTTCTTTACAGGTGCTATTAAACACTGTCAAGAGAAAAGAGATAAACAATCTGATAACTTCCGAGGGGCACGTGGGAAACTAAACAGCGTATGTCGTCATCACCATTAATCAATTTTTCTAACTGATGAAGCAGAAACAAACAACCCTAAGCGGGCAAGTCCTGGAACCACGAGTAGTCTTTCCACCAATGTAAAGAAGGATCCTAAATCGGAGACCTCAGCCAGGAAGCCTGAAAAGCACGTGTCCTACTTTGCGTTTGGGGAACTTCCCAGGAAGCATTTGCTCACAGTAAAACTCCATCACCCTCGGCCTGCATAACTCAGCGAAAGGATAAAAGTACGAGCTGGAGTGGGGAACCTCTGCCCCCCCGGGGCCCCGGGAAGCTTCCTCCGCGGCCCCCCGCCCGCTCACCTCTGCCGCGGGGATGTTGACCACGCCGGTGGAGCGACGCTTCTCGCGCAGCTTTCTTTTCTCGATCTGCCCCTTGCCCTTCCTGGCACTGGGGCCCGAGCTCTTGCCCTTGTCCTGGGCGCCGTCCCGCTCCTCGTCGTCGCCCCGGGCCGGCGGTGCCCCCGAGGCGGAGACCGCGGCCGCGGCGGTGGGAGGCGGCTCGTCCTCGGGCCGCCGGGGGCCGGGGGCG